CCCCAAAACCCCAAAACCCCAAAACCCCAAAACCCCAAATTTTTATCAGAGATTTTTTTCGATTTTTTTGTTATTTGTGTAGCGAAGATTTTGTAAATAAAGTTTTAAGGGATTTGGGAGAGGGATTTTGCCTGGCAGGTTTATGAGGACTTGAGGTTGAGAGGGTAAGAAAATGGGGATTTTTGGGATGGACTTTGGGGGAATTGAATGTAGAGGAGCTCTTATGTTGTTAAGGATGGTGTGAAGACGAGGTGGGGAGTTATAGACTATTTAGAGAATTTTCTTGTTATTTTTGGGCTATTGGAGATTTATATTCTAAATGGAAATTTTGTGAAATGGGAATAAATTTTGGAAAATTGATATAGATGAGAGAGTAAGGAGTATCTGGAGTCTCAAAATTGCATTTATCAAAGTCTAATATGCCCAATTCTTAGGGTCTTGAAATAGAAAAGAGTGGTTCCTTAAGTCGTAACCGATATTATTCTAAATTTCTGAAAACTACAATAGTCGACACTATTGCAACTTGAAGGTCACCAAGTTATCAATTTTTCGAATTGGAATATTAAAATTTTGGAAAAGAACAGAAATTTCTCTTAAATTTACTCATAAGCAGGGATGAAATTATGAAATTCTCAAAGCTCTAAAAGAAGGCTAGTTTGTCTATTAATATATAGACGAGATTCCCTAGCTTTATAAATCATTAAAAACCCAAATATTAAAATAGAGAACCTCACACATTACAACCTATTTCTCCAAATCAAAATTTAGACTATTTAGTTAATAATACTTCTTACTGCACCCTTAGAGGCGAAATTTAATTAGATCAGAGCCATGATTGGCTAAGGCTGGCGGATTTTTACCCTTTCCAAATCTCCTCTACTTCAAGCCTTGTTCTTCTTCATTGTTCTAGGCCAAAAATAGTGCCTATAAACCATAATATTCCTAATATGTAAACCATTTCTGACTAAAATAATATAATTTACTAACAGAAGTTTTCCCAGCTACAAAAAGGAAGTAATCGATCCATAGTTTCTACTAGATTCTTAGGGTTTATTAATAAATGGAGTAGTGTCAAGAAGGATTCTGAAGAAATTTGCAGTTAATTATTAGGATGAATTAGGAATTTTAGGAGCTTGGGGTCGCTCAGTCATGCACTGTTATTCAATGCTCACCTTCTTGGCAAGAGAACTTATTGTTAAGGTTGGAGGTAGTGTGGGTGTACTTCTTATGTGCAGCATCGTTTGATAAACTTCTGATTCTTATGGCCTTGTTTAGCAAAGCCTTGATGTCGCTTTGAAGGTTAGACCTGGATGAAGATGCTTTAGAATTTTTATGTGAAGCAATTATTTTGGAAGGGACTGCGAGAAAGTTGTCATTCGATAACTTAGGCACTCTTGATGGCTTTCATAACTTGAGCTTGTTAAATGGACATGACTTTGATTTTGCCTCTTTGCCCAAAATGATTCTGCTATTAAACAAAGGCTTTGACATATTCTCTTCAAGAGTCCGAGATACATTGATATTGGATACTGATACATTTTCGTCCAAGAACTCTTCTGATAGGTCTTCTTCAAATTGATTAAATTGATTCATGTTTATTTTTATATATCTAATCAATTTATTTTGCTCTATATGGGGTTTTGGGGTTTTGGGGTTTTGGGG